TTATCAATTTAAAATTTTAATTTAATGTTAAGGTCTAGGGTTCAAATGCTTGTATTATAAAGCAATTAATTTTTTCAATATACCAAAAAAAAAAACTGTGGTTGTTTTTACATATTGAAGTCTTGTTAGGATTGAACTTCCTATATATTGGTTGCATAAATTATTTTGGTAATTTTAGAATGATTTAAGTAATTTAATGATAATTTTTTCTAATAAAAAAAAATCTTAAGTTTGAGTTTGAGTTATAAACATGAGAATAAGATGAGAAAAAATTACCTTATAATCAATGGCATAGCTAAAAAAGAAATTTTAGGTTAATTTAAAATTCAAGGATTTAAATTGTACATATATAAATAAATTTAACTAACTAACAAAATAACTAAAAAAATTAAAAAAAACACATTTGTCATAATTTAAGGATGAAGAAAAATTCAAAACATAGCTAGTTTAAGGATTAAAAATAATTAAAATTTAAAGTTTAGAGACTAATAAATTGGCTAAAGTTATATAAAATAAATTAAAATTTTAAGGAAAAAAATCATAAAAATAAAAATTTCATAGAGTTGATTAACATTTTTTCAAAAGTTTAGGAGGCCTGGTGACCTAAAATAAATAAATAAATTGTAGCAATTTTCCTCCGGTTCTAGATACCTACAAACTCAATAAACGATAGAATCTCTTGTTGGGTCTTGTCCGGTTAATTAGTCGGTCGTAAAGGTCCTTCACATGTCAATGTAAGCATCTTTTTATTCAATGAATATGACTATTTTCATTGAAAAACACTCGTCCCCATGTAACAATACTCATTTTGTGCATATCAAACCAAACCCACCACATCAATGAGGGGTTGTATCAAATGATAAGTGATTTGTTTTAGTTTAAGCAAGGTTTTGAATTTGAGATCTTGTGTACGCAGCAGGTCCTGTTGGGAGATTTACCCACTATTTCTAGGTGCGTGATACGGGTCGAGTCCAAATTAGTCAGAACGAAACCTCAAATACCGGACGAAAAACCAAAAAAAAAAAAAAAACCAAACCCACCACAAAATAAACGAAACTTAAATGGGTTACATAACACAAACTTAAGGTTCTCAAAATTCTTTAAATCCCCAAACCACCTTAATACTATTTCTAAAAATAAAAGCTCCAGATCTAAACAAATATAGAATGGCTAAAATTTGCAAAGGCAAAGAAAAGTTGATGCATGCATATGAGTGAGAACCATCTATTTCTTCGTGATTTGTAGTTGTTAGAACTATCTTTTCACATTTCGAAATCACACCAGACGTAACATTGGAGAGATCTATTTCCTTGACCTGTTTCATGATTTTGATAACTCATCAAATAGGACGCTTGAGCGATTTCTCCTCATCTAAAAGTAATGGATCGATAATAACATTTCATATAGATAATTAAAGATTTATTCATATTATTTCACCCAAATTTATGGTGCCGACTGTTTCTTTAGTCCCCATCTATGCTAACAAACACAAACCTCCATGAATTCCCTCCATGATTGTTGTTACATTAATAATTGGCCCCTACCCAAAGTAAATCTGAAGTTTCCTAGTGTTTCTTAAGTGGACCCTTTTGTTTCTCTTGTACCAATTCAATATCCCATATAGGAATACATAAATCCACGCAACGTTTACGTGCCGTTATAGTAGGGGAAATGACTCCTCATTCAGCCTGTGGAGGATAGGTGAAGCAGTATATGTGTATCTACTTATTTAATATTATGTATATTATAAAGTAAGTTTTTTTAATTTGTATTTTAAGAGTACATATTAAAAGTATAATTATTATATTTTTTTATATTTATTATTATTGAAAAATATAGAAACTATTATTAATTTCATCACAATGTCACATGAAACATCACTAATGTCACATAAAACATTTTAATTAGACAGTTATTGAAATAAAGGTTAAGTTTTATTTTTTCAATAGTACCTAATGTGAAAAGATACAATAATTACACCATCAACTTGTGTTTTAAAAAAACCCTTGTGTGATAAAAAAAACATTTGTGTGATTTCATTTTAGAAATTTTTTTAGTACATCAACTGGTGGACTATAAAATAAGAAATAGTTTTCTTATTCCTTTATTTTTCTTTACTCACCTTAAAATTTAAACTTGAAATTTCTAATTTAAAATCTCAAGTTTTTAACCACTTGAAATACTCCTTTAAAATGGTTTTAATTTAGGAT